CAGATTATTATCACTAATAAAACATATGTCGTGTTTTTCCTCTCTGATCCTCATTGCAGGTACGCTGGAATTTTCTGATACCCACTCGGACATGTCCTATGTCTTCATCAACGACTCGTCGCAGACCAATGTGCCTCTGCTGCAGGCCTGCATCGATGGAGACCTGCCGTTCGCCAAGAGGCTCCTGGAGACCGGATGCGACCCCAACATCCGTGACAACCGGGGCCGCACTGGCCTGCACCTAGCTGCCGCCCGGGGGAATGTGGACATATGCCGCCTCCTACATAAGTTTGGGGCTGATCTGTTGGCGACTGATTATCAAGGAAACACGGCGCTGCATCTGTGTGGTCATGTGGATACAATACAGTTCCTGGTTTCCAACGGGCTGAAGATAGATATCTGGTAAGAATACAATTTTATAATATTTTTATTTTAAATATTTTACTTATCATATTTTTACGCATAGTTTTATTGAAGTGCAACACACTTTTATGTTAATTAAAAATAAATTAAAATACACATTAATAAAAAGGTAGGTGAAATTACAGTTTTGATCTGGTTTCCCTTGTATTTCCTCTGTCGGTTGTCCTGCTTGATAGTAACCACAACGGCTCCACCCCTCTGGTGCTGGCGAAGAGACGCGGCGTCAACAAGGACGCCATTCGTCTGCTGGAGGGACTGGAAGAGCAGGAGGTGAAGGGCTTCAACAGAGGACCCCACTCCAAGCTGGAGACCATGCAGATGGCCGATAGTGAGAGGTAAACACGTGGGGAATGTGGGGATGATTCAGTGATTGAGACTAAGTCACAGCACTGAGCTGAACTCTTGGGACACATTCAGCCTACATATGTGTAACTGTGATTTCCTTTGTCTGTCCCAGTGCGATGGAGAGCCACTCCTTACTCAACCCCAACCTGCAGAGCAGCGAGGGCGTCCTGTCCAGCTTCAGGACCACCTGGCAGGAGTTTGTGGAGGATCTGGGCTTCTGGAGGGTGCTGCTGCTGCTGGTGGTCATCGCCCTACTCTCCCTGGGCATCGCCTACTACGTCAGCGGGGTGCTGCCGTTCTCCACCAGCCAGCTGGAGCTAGTGCACTGAGGGAGGTGTGGGATGAGGTGAGGTAAAGAAGAAGCATGAGGTAGAGAGGTAGCAAACTAAACAAGTGAAGTTCTGCTTTCGGCTGTGTTCATACCAGAACAGAAATCCAGATTTTTGTTTATCCTCAGCCCAGATCTTGTGTTTTTCTCCGTTATATAAACAGAGAAACATCATAATGTATTGTTAGTATAAAAAAGTATTTCTAAAAAGCAGTGATTCAAAGAACAAAACTCACTCGATTGAAAACTTGAACAAACTTGCAAGCTTGTGTGTGGTGATTAACAGAAGGGCCCAGGAAGTGTGTCACGTGTCGGTCCTGTTTAATTATTGTGTAACATATCCCCTTTAAAACGAGTTCACAGTTAAAGCTGCTTTTGAAAAAGTGTGTGAGTGAGACAACATGATGCTCTTGTTTTGTTTTAACGCAGTTATACAAAGACATTTCCTCGTATAACGCCTCTTCATTTCATTCATACTGTATGTTCTGTTACAAGCTGTATATTGCCAATGTTTTGTACCTTTTATTTTCTTATTTGTTTGATCTTTCAGTTGTGTTATTTATCAAATATCTGAATCTGCATTAATTTTCCTGCATACTGTACGTTTTGTTAATACACTGCACCCTTGCTGTCTGTACCCTTCCGTTTTTTGACCCGTCATTGAATCAGTATCTACTCCGACTGGACGCAGTTAAGCTGTGATGACTGAAAGTTGATCCCTCATGTCGTGTCGTCTGCTCACGTACAGATTAGAGAAGCACCTTGACTGTGTGCCTTTGTGAGAGAAAGCTTCACGTTTCACGACCGCTCATTGAGACATTCCTGCCAAAAGCATGTGGCTTTATTGCATTAAATCTACCCTGTTGTTGTAAACACCATATATAGGCACAATGCTCAAACTGTAGGATTATGGCGGCAGATTAACGGTCATTACTTTTGTTTGTTTTTTTGTTGTATATTCATTTTATCTTAATGTCCTTGTAAACCAAGTTGATTTTATTTGTTGTAGGTTTTCCACCTGTTGATTTTCTATGTACAAGTAAATCCTAATTTAATGTGGAAAGAGAATAAAATCATGTGTATGTATGATTCTAATCAACAAGGCGACTGCCCGTGTTGTTTGATTTCTGAATTCTCTGCTGAGCGGTGCATTCATTCACAAGGTATTGTGGTTACAGAGGTTGAAGTGAACACGGGGAACTGAAAATCACAGTTTAGAAATATGTATAAAACATAATGTGTCTTTAATCCACCAAGAATGCTTCTGTAGGGATTCTTGTACATGGTTGTATTTTTTCCAGCATGTTATCTTGATGTGAGGTGGTAAAACAGCCATTTTTATTTGACCCTTCCTTGATACGTTACATTCTGCTTTCTGAAAATGGTGTTTTCACTCCAAAATGCAACATTATAACCCTTTAATCTTTTATTTGATTAATCCAGAGTGTCTGCAGGTCATTTAAAATGAGTTAAGCTGTTGTGTGTGAAAGTCCACGCTTCTGATGTTACAAGTCTTTAAACCTATCACTGAACATAATACTTTTTACGTCATGTTTGTGCTGCCTGTTGGCAAAAATGTAGTTTAACCTAACTCACTCTAATAACCACATTCCTACATAAACCTAGTTACTTGCTTTTATACTGACCTGCAATGCTTGAACAAAAAAAAAGAGGATTTGTCTAAAAATATGTCTTAATTATCTTAAAAATGATCTTGAAAGGGTTTAAAAAAGCATTACATTTAAGATACCTGTAGACACCCTGTAATCAGAAACAGGTCTTCAGGTATTACAACTTATAAAAGTAAAAAAAATATGTAAGAATGGCAGGGTATATGGGTCAAAAACATTTTTTTAAGGCAACCATATGCAGTAAAGGTTAATAAATCAGGCTCAGAACCAATGATAACACATCCGATCGACCATTTAAAAGCAACTAAAAACAACCATACAGTTCCTGGAAAAATATGACGTATGTAAAGGAACAGTGGCCTTGCATAGTATTACAGTTTTTCTTGATATCTGGACATGTTAAATGAAGGTTGGATTCACTTGATCTTCATCATCACCTTAGTGCAGCAGAAGTCTTCTTGTGCAAATGTGTTAACACTTTTACATTGGTTTCACACCCTTTTTTAAACATAGATCTCATAGAAAGACCCCAAAACTCTATTGGAATAACTGTATAACAAAAGGAAAACACCTCTTGACAGCTGTTGGACATTATTTGCATAATTATGACTCTAGTCCAGCTGTGTGAAACTCTTGCACAACTCTTCAGTCAGCAATCAGTCCTCATCTATCTATAAAATATGACACCTCTGTGTTTCTATTTACAAGCATGGACCAAAGAGGCCAAAAGCATGTAAAAATTAATAATGAAGGATATCAAATGAATGTTGAAAACATACTTAGAAAATGCTTCTGTCTCAGTTTCTCAGTATTTCAAAAGGGCATCTCAAAAAAGTGTAAACCACCGGCCTCAACAGGGGGTCCATGACCCCTAGGTGGTACTCTGAGTTACTGCAGGAGCGCCAAATTATTTTATAGTTTATAGTTTTATAGTTTTTTTCCCCCCAGAATATTTGAAACATGTCTGAAAATGCACTTTTATATTTATCTCCTTTTCATAAAAAAACAGCCCATTTCATTTACAGTACACAACATTAATGACAGGCTACGTGTTGCTCATGAATCCTCCTGCAACCATGAAAGTGAGCTAACTCACACTATTATTTTAATACCTTAGTGTTGTATGCACCAGAAAATGGTATGTTTGTAGAAGAAGGAGATATACTTTATTAATCCCTGAGGGGAAATTCAGTGTTTTCACTCTGTTGTCATATACACACAGGCTCAAAATACACACACATGCACAAACAGGACCTATACATGCATTAAACAGAGCGCCCCAAGTAGTCCACAGTCCATATTGAGTCTGGATAGGGACTTGAACCTGCAACCCTAATTTTCTATAAAAGTGAACTGCTTGGCAACCAGACCAGGCATCTTATTGAGTTTTTATTTGTCAAATTGTGTGGCTTCTCTGGGCTAGTAAAAGGGTCTGGGCATTTAATTGGGACTAGGCTTTTAAATTTAGTTTTATAGTATGCACAGACTCAGTGATCACAGCCTGGGCATGGATACTAGCAGACACAGCAGACCTGGCTGCTTAGAGGAGACAGGCTGTGTCAGCACTGTCCACAGAAACAGACAACATCAGGACAAATTAAACGTTAAGTCCAAGATTTCGTACACTCACTGACTAAAATGCATCATCTATTTGGAGAAAATAGTGTAGCCATAGATGCAGCACAATATGTCAGTGCAAGTCTCAGGCTAAGAGTCAACATTAATTTCCTCATAGATCACGCTCTGCCTTTTATTTACTCCTTCACTTAATGAGGTTATGTTTTTAAGTTTATGATTATGTATTAATACATCCTTGTTAAGTGTGCCTTTAATATATTCCATTGCAGTTAACTGAATTCACTGTCTTCAATTGTAATTGTGTTTTTGGTAACACATGAAATGTCGTGACAATAAAGCTTGAATTGAATAATGTGAGGGTAAGCCAATCAGAGGCAGAGTAAGGTGCAGTAAGCCAATCAGAGGCAGAGTAAGGCAGAGAAGGGCGGGACATACTGTCAACATCCGGGAGTGTATTTACATTAGTGACACGGATGTCCACTCGGTGTCGCTGTAATACCGCATTTTAACCTATGATTTTAACCCAGAGGCTGACTTTGTTCAACACTTTACATAAACACTTTATGACATATCTATGTAAGGTTTTTGCTAATTAACTTTGAGAGTAATTATAAGCTGTGTAAAGACGAAGGCCGAGTAAACGGAAGTGAATGCTAATTAGCTTCTCAATTAGCTTAACAGGTGAGTCAGTCAAAATGGCGGCCCTCCCGAAGGTAATCACCACTAACAGCTTTAAAATCGAGACCTACAGTTACATCAACTAGCTAAGTCTACATTTGCACTCCAGAAATGAAAATATTTGTCCATATTGTGTGTGGGTATGTTCCAAGTGAAATGCAAAAGCTTAATTTTTAATTATAGCCTCATTCAAACAGTGATGTAGTGTATTTGTTTCAGTGCGGTGTTTCTCCTCGCCTCACCTCACTGTGTCAGCAGTCCAGTGCCAACAGGTAAGACCAGTTTAATAAAACTGTGCTAAAATACCTGCGTCATGATATCAACAAGAAATATGTCAGGACCAGCGAGCTCTGGGGGGTCCTTCAGGGGACTCCTGGGGGCTGGTTATTACTTCAGCCTTGCTAATAAAATGCTTTTCTTTAAATTTAATATACTACCTTCCTATATGCAGTTTTATATGTCAGGGGAAATACTTTTATCACTGTTACAGAGCTCCTGTCTGAAATTATATACAGGATAAGATTTACAATACAGTGTTGCATAGTGCAGTGTGGAATGGCTACATACTGTAATTTTATTGCCTCCCTCAACATTACATTGTCTAATAACATACGTTTTCCTTTACCACATACACATACTGTATAGGGAAAGGAGGAATTGCTACAGTAATATTATTTTTATGATATCAGTGGCTTTATAATGTGGGAAATTGTGCTAAATTATACATAAAGTAATCAAATGTACAGTATGTTCAAAGCAGTGTGCCTCACTGCTATGCGTCATATCACCACCAAGCCAGTAAATTTAAAACAAAGAAAATTAGATTAATTAATCATGACACAGTTCCACCTAAAGTCGCTATACAATAATATAAAATGTTTGCCTCGCCCTCCTGTACGTATTTTTCAGTGCAATGAAGAAGGCCCAGGGTACGCTGAAACATCTGAATTAACTAATCTAAGTTTAATGCATTTTGGTGCCATTCTGAATATTTTCAGAAACATTTCAGACCAAATGTCTTGATCGTCACTTCTGGCTTTCTGTCAAGTCCAGCTTCATTGGCCGGGTGATTCGTTTTGACTTTGAAGGTATGTCTCTTTATCCTCCTGAAGCCTGTTTTCCTCCAACATGGTATTGGTTCAGTTCCAAATCCGCACGTAATTTTGTACCGCTCGGAGCATTTTGACCAAAAATTAACTACAGTACAGTTGGCTCTCAGTTGGAACCAAAAAATAGTAAGTTTATCTTGACCTGATGTGCAAACCTTGACAACATCAGCGAGCATGTTTACAGTTAACTTCTGTTGAGCAACGTCCTTCATTAATGACACATCCTTGATTACAATGGTTCTGCGTAAAAATACTGAAAAACACAAGCTTGTTCGCTCGATAGCACCAAGGTTCCACAAATCCTGAATGGAACTGCTTCAAGAACCAGAGCTAATTTGGTGGGCAAGGGGTGCTTGAGAAAAATAGGAACCAGAGAGGGTCTTTGTTGATGGAATTGTTTGGATTCTGCTTAGGTATCCATACATGTAAATGACCTTTTGATGTAAACCACCAGACCAATATGGACTCCACTTCCTGTCTGATCACGAGGCCACGCTCTGTGGTTACACTGTCCTAATCAATGACGTTGGAGACCTGGTGTTTCGTGCCTCCTTCCTGGCCTGTCACGTCCACAGTGAGGTAGATTTTTCTACATTTTTATACTTTGATATGTGGCAGGATTCCATTCTTAACAACCTACCACTCGTGTATCTCTCCTCTGCAGAGAGGCACAGACTATCACCTGCGTCTTTGGTTTGTGAACCTGCAGGCGGATGGGAAAGCAGCAGCGTATCCCTTTCAGCTCAGCTGCTCTCTCCAGGGGCGCTGGAGCACCAGAGAGATCGTGTGTGAGGAAAACTATATGGAGGTGAATTACTAACCTGTGTAGTTATGTCATCACATCCACACTTTTTATGGTGGTGGAAGAGATTTGACGATATACTGTGTTTAAGAGAAAGAGATTTGTGTTTAATTTTAAAGGTTTTTTTTTTCCAAAACATATGCAAGGGCCAAGAGAAGATTCAGGCCATTTATGAAAGGATACAGAGCCTTATTTTTTTCCTCTCTAGGTGTCTGTGCAGCAACCTATCCTGCCCATTACATCCAAAAAGAAGTTGAAGGTTAGTAAATGGCAAGACAAGAGGATTTAAAATAAATTGCATCCTGTGTGCAGGATGAATGTGCGGTTTTAAATGAGGTTTTGCTCTATGGCTTCATAAACAAGTTGATTAGACACATCTTTGTCACTGAGCAGGGAGCTGACGAGGCAGCAATGGCTGTGATGTTCCACACAGATGACCAGTCACCAGAGGAAGTGAGGGTGTTCTCCCCGATAGAGGCTGCTGCTCTTGGCTACCACATCTCACTGCATGGCTCTCACCTCACCCTCCGCTGCCCCTACTCCTCCCGTTTCTCATACTTTGTCAAGGTATTCAGAGACGATATTCTTTGCAGGGGTCTCAGTGCAATGTTTTGTTATTTTTCTGGATGCGGTGTGTGGGTGTTTTTCCCAGGAGAGTGGAGTGGATTTAGAGATTGTCAGAGCAATCATCCTGTACCAACTCCTGGCTGTTGAAATCACTGCTGCCTGCACACTGAGTTAGTACAGTTTATCAGTATTGCACTATTGTACAGTTGCAAAATATCAGAGTGACATGTCCCCTCGCTCTCCCCTTTCTCACCCCCAGGTGAGGCTACAGCTGATGGGTCTGACCTGCTGTGGACTGTCCCTTATATTCTCTCTCCGTTAGTCCACGGTCGGTTCAGAGACAGAGGCGTTAGGGTCAGAGTAAACGGCCTGGCTCTGAGTGAGTCTGAAAGTAAAAAGAGGGGATACAAGATGGGCCTGCAGGAGGGGAGAGTGGAGGTCAGGATTCCTGTTGGAGCCCATGGTGGACACATTAAGGTATACAAGATGTACTATAGGACAGTGTCACTGTCTCCCACTTTGTTATTTTGTGACAGATAATAAGATGATTTATAGGATGAGGAAGAAAAATTATATTTGTGTTGAAGAAAATTGTGAATTTTTTTTTTTTTTTTTGTGAATGGCTCTAAAGAAATCAGTTGTACAGAATGTTCTGTCGTGAGTTTTGTCTGCTGTAATTCTTCCAGAGTGGTGTTGTGAGGGGACAGTACAGCCAGTCCATGCCCACAGATCTGTTCTTCATGAGTCAGTGGGAGGATGAGCGCTGGCCTTTCACGCAGCATCGCTCCTTCAGGCTCCTCAAGACTCCTCTCATCCCACAAATCCCAGTCCTCACCAACAGTAAGGCTTTCCTAAGCCACAATAATACTAATATTAACTAATATTTAGTAATATTTGGCTAATAAAAAAGAACAAAAGAGGTAGAAATACAGATTATGTGTACTTCCAATGTGGTAAACACACTGCCATCACTGATCTCTCTCTCTCTCTCTCTCTCTCTCCACAGATACAGGCCTATCTGACGGATCGTTCTCCGCCATATTAGGCGTCTTTGCACCTGATGTTTCCCTCCAGAGAGTGACAGTAGATGGTGGTGGTGGTGACTTTTTAACCTGGACCCAGAGTGACACAGACGACCTCAGTGTGTCCAGGATCTCCCACGCCAACGGGAGCCACTCCTACCAGCTTCGTTTCCCGTTGTCACACCCAAAAATAATCCCAGAGGTCAGACTGACACTGAGCCACTTTTATTTTGTTTAGAAGACCAAAAATATCTGAAACAACCTCCTGTTTGATCCCAGTATATAGGTGGTGGCTATGAGACGTACAGGCTCTCCTTCTCCTTTACTTTTAACATCTTACCCAGCGGAAAGGTGTTTTACCATCGAGCTACTATAGAGCAGAGTGTCGAATACACAGGTGAGAAATTCAGTCATCATCATAGATTTAGAGCAGTTTGTGTGGTTTAAATCAGTATACTTATGATTCCCCTTCTAACCTGGTGCAGCTCCACGTTCCCCCAAGCTGGAGGGGAAGTGCACAGAGAGCAGCCTGCTGGTGCTGCTGCGCCACGGGACCAAGACCGAGCTGCAGTGGGAGCTGTTCCTCAGAGCTCACAAGCTGGACTGGGACCTGGTGGAGATGGGTGGGTTTGTGGTGGAGGCGGAGGAGGACTACTTGTCTGTGGAGATCCCCTTTGACAGCCCTGGGATGAACTATGAGGTAACCAATCATAGTCAAGAGGTCCAGTATTGAGTGAGACCACTGTAGCCAGCAACAGCGAAACAGGCTGCAGTCTAACCTCTCAGGGCATTGAAACACTGCCAATTTACGTCCCCTAAAAGTGCTTGTTTTGGCACTGATGGGCTCAGGTTTTTATTCTAAGTGTCTGACAACATTTTGGAAGGGATCCTTACAGATATAAGCCGGTTTTTAAAAGTATAAGATGCTTTTTCCTTGAAACAGAAAGACCCTGAAAATTGCTATCGCCAAAACCACCAGATTCCATTCAAAAAAACACTAATTTTATCATTGTAAAGTGCACTTAATTCAAAGTCAGTAGAAGCAAATTAAAACTCATAAAATAACCTCCTAATTCACCTAGTTAGATGTGATAATATGTTGACTCCATACACTCTAAAATGACTATTTATTTAAATGGAGTCTGGTGAGTTTGGTGCTCTGCTGTAATAAAGCACGTTTGCTCCTTTTCTTCTCCCACACAGGAACTGACATTGCAGGGTCTTGTCGCAGGAGTGGAAGTGTCTGTTGTGGATGCAGCGTCTCTGAAAGTGGAGGACAGTCTCGTCCATAAATGCACTTTTCCAGCGAGAGAGCTGCTAGGTACACACCACAAGCTCAAACTGAAGCATATTTGTGTGTTAGTTTATAATGATCTTCACACTCGCAGTGTTTCTCTGACAGTATGTTTGCCAGAAGGGAGGATGGTGGCAGTGGTCGACACCACCCACACCATCCCACCCACTCATCCCAACCGAACCACTCTATTGGACCCCAGTTGTGTTCCCATGGAGACGGACAGTGCTAGAGCTCTGTTCAGCTTCAGCCTGGATTCCTGTGGGACAACTGTAACTGTGAGATAATTTAATTAACTTGGATTAACAAAGAAAGTACTCGCTCTGGCCTCTGTTCTGATCCTCTCATGTTTCCTCAGACTGAGGGAAGTCTCCTTGTTTATGAAAACCAGATCAGTTACCCTCAAGATTTTCTGCCTTTGGGTGATCCTCTCATACACAGAGATTCTCCATACAGGTTGGAAGCATACACACTGAACTCAGTCTGTCTTTTAACCACATGATGGTGTTGATGTAAGTCTTGTCTGTTCTAGGCTGACAATTCAGTGTCGCTACCCAGCAAACGATAGCCGTACTGTGGCTATGCAACACCCTTTGCACTCCTCTCTGGACCTTTCACCCACGCCAGTCAAAGGCACACAGAGGGAAGCTGCAAGCACAGGTGTGTGTTTGTAAAACTCAAATGTCAGAACATCAGACCAGTCCATCTGCAACTCATATTTAGTATTTGTAATGTAAATGTGTGAATGTTTTTCAGCACAATCAGGCCAAAGAAAATCAAGAGTGAATTTGGAAGGAAAGCAAAACCTTCATCAAGGTAGTGAAACTTTATTTAAACTGTATTCGAATCATTGTGCTAAATGTTTTGTAAATCTGCTTTGTATTGAAACTGAACTTGGGGGGATCATATTACGAAAATGAATTATGTGTTATAAAATTAACATACATCAATATAAATTGATGTAGGGAAGGAACATGATGTTTAACCTTTTGTTTCCTCATTTCTGGAGTTTCAGTCGGGATCAAATGGACGCTTGTCTTCATTCTGCTGTTGCTGATGCTCTGCACATGGGTGTGTGCATACGTAACCTGTAAATTAAATAAATGAATGCTGTTTTATTTTACCTTTTTATTAGGTCTTTGTTGTAAGTTATTGAAGTGAATTCTCTTTAGTGTCTATCCTGACAAGATATGAGAAATAAAAAAAAGGTTGGGTTTTTTTGTGAACTTGTAATTCAGTCTGTGAGTTTCTTAAATTATTCATTTTTTATTTATTTATTACTCATTACTGCTGGCATTGTCTACATCAGTGGTTCCAAACTGGTGCAGCCAGGGGGTCCAGATTGCTCCTTAGTCATTAGTTCAAGGTCCACACACTTTAATATATTGGTATTCACTGGCTCTACAGCAGTAAACGGCAGTTCAAAATAAAAGCCCTGTGCTGGAAGTTAACTGTAAGAATAAAGTGCATTTTTTACAAAGTTGACATGTTCGCAAGTCACTTATGGTCCATCCAGAATGGACCCACGAACCACTTTTGGACCACGACCCGTCACTTGGGAACCACTGATCTACATCAAGTATCTTCAAATAAAAAAAAAATAAAATAAAAAAAAAAACCTCTAACCAGAGAGAAACACTTGCATGGAAATGAGCCATCATTAATGTCATTTGTCACACCTGTGTTTTTCCTGCTGTGAGACACGGTCCAGTGATTGAAAGACAGCTTGATTGCTGATGAGTTACACATGTGGCTTTAACACTGAGGGCCTCTGATTGGTCAGTGAATAAACTGACTTATAAAAGCTGGTGTAGCAGACAGCAACACATGGTGCCAGTTTGATCAGGATATACACCAAGCAAGTGTTCACTTCAGCTTGTGTTGGTTAGCAGGTGTAGTTTGCTAGCAGTTAGGCTAGCTTTAGACACTGCCAGCACATCAGTGGCTATGGCTTTTGGGTTTTACCTTGGGTAAGGTGCTTTCATTGCAGTTTGTGAGCTGTTAGTTGACATCAGTCCACCTGTATGTTTGCAACTTATATCTGCTTTTGTCTTACAGTGGGGTTTTGCTCCTGTCTGTGTGGGCAACTGCAAAATGTGATCCTATTCCTGATGGTAAGATTTCAGCTGTTTGCCTAAAGGCATTTAATTATAACTTAAAGGACAACTTCAGTATTTTTCAACCTGGGCCCTATTTCCCCATGTGTATGTGTGCATATGATTCATGGGTACCACTTGTTCTAAAATTGGTTCAGTATTGAGCCGCGAAACGAGCTAAAACGGTAATGGGGGCAAATGCGTCCCGTTTAAAAGTGCTTTTTTGGCCACTGACCGGTTCATATCGCCAGTGCTATCTCTGTAGATAGCATATTGTAGCGGCCCTGGGGCAGTGGTGAGTGTGAATGAGTGGAGTCAGCTGTCAGTCAGTGTTGGAGCAGAGAAGGGGAGGGCGTCCCCGCTTGGTAATGTAAGTGAGTATGTGTGTGTGTGAAGTGTTTTTTCGCCACTGACCTGTTCAGATCGCCAGTGCTATCTCTGTAAATAGCATACTAACTTAGCCTTTCCCTTACCTCTGGGCTGTGTGATGTCACGAGCTTTGCTCCACTGTGTCTGTAGCTCTCTCTACTCGTGGTGCAGCTGTTTTCTTGAGGAAGAGGTGTTCCGGGATTGGAAGTCTTCTCTTCTTCGGCTGGCAATAGTCATCTTGGGAGAAGTGAGCACTGCAGACCCGATGGTCTGCAAGGTGCAGTGTCTGGAGAGGAGTGTTAGCATCCATTTGTAGCACAACTAGCCACAACTTCAGCATCTCGCCGTCCGACAAAGGCAGGCTGTGAAAGCTGTACGGGGTGTTGCGCGACATCCTGTTCTTGCGTTCGGGGAAAAAGGCCCGTTTATTTGAGTACTCCAAAAACTCCGGTAACACTCCAGAGGGTAGCACGTAAAAGACTCAGTCCTCTGACTCTTCTAGCGTAACACACATACTCATTTACAGTACCCAGCGGGGCCGCCCTCCCCCTCTCTGCTCCAACATTGACTGACAGCTGACTCCACTCATTCACACTCACCACTGCCCCAGGACCGCTACAATATGCTATCTACAGAGATAACACTGGCGATCTGAACCAGTCAGTGGCGAAAAAAAGCACTTTTATATGGGACGCATTTGCCCCCATTACCGTTTTAGCTCGTTTTGCGCTTCAATACTGAACGAGTGGTACCCATGAATCATACGCACACATACACATTGGGAAATAGAGCCCAGGTTGAAAAAAAACCAAAGTTGTCCTTTAACACACCTTGTTTTGTTCATGCAGAAGTTCTTCACATGGAGTGTCATTATCGCTTCTTCATGATAGCTGTTGATCTCTCATTCACTGGGAATGAACCTCACTTTGAGGCCTTTGGTAAGTCCCGGGCAGCTTGGCCACAAATTAAAATGAAGCTGATTGGATGTGCAGGGGCGTGTTGGGTCTAATAATGTTTGTCTTCCAGATGGGACAGGCGTGCACGCCATCACTGAGCAGTATGCAGCTCAGTGTGGCTACACTGTCAGTGTTCTCCCTCTAGCCGGCCATGTGGAGCTCCGAGCCTCTTACTTCAGCTGTCACACTGACAACACAGTGTGTATAAGTTGCATATAAAACAGTGTTTGACTCTTACTGTACAGGTTAGGTGTGGCATCCTATAATTTTCTACTTGGTCTTTCAGAATGACGAAGAGTTCACTTTTAACTTCAACCTGATTGTGACTCATGAAGGAAAGGAGGTCACCTATCCCATGAACAAGACCTGTTCTCCAACTCTTCCCTGGTCTCCCAGAGAGGTTACCTGTGAGACCAACTACATGGAAGTAAGCTAGATAGATGTAATATTATTGTGGAAGTTGTTAATGTTTACTAATCCTGGCTTCTCTGTAGGTGTCTGTGAGGAGTGTAGTGACCTGTCCATCTGACAGAAAGAAATATGACTGGAATGCTGCTCTACAACCTGTATGTCTCAACTTGTTTTCTTGAATATTTGATTCTTGTCGCCTATGTATCTGGATTAATAATATAGTAAGCGGAGGTGTCTGTCTCCCCTGTAGGCCTACTCATCAGCTACTTCAGACTGGCAGGTGATGTTTCACAGAGATGGGGAGCAGATGATGCCTATGAAGCTCTCTGAGGCTCATTAGCTGGGTTATGCATTTGACTTGACTGATGGAAGGCTGGTATTTCGTGCTCCGTATGGACAACCTGATTCATTCATCACTGAGGTAAACAACTGATGCTTAATGTCAGTCTTGTAAAGCATGTAGTCCAAAGCAGGTTTTGATTTGGAGTCTCTTTCCAGGTGAATGGTGTTCCAGTAGAGGTGGTCCATGCAACTCTTGTTTCCAGACAAAGCTGGGTGGTCCTCATGGTCGACCTGGAGGCTGCTTGCTCCACAGGTCATTGCTACAATCTCACATTTTCCATAGTTTCTCTTTTTCCATGACGGTTAACAAGCAAAGCTGTAATGTTGTGTAATCTTCAGATGAAGGATCATATGATGACAGTGGCTACATGATGTGGGCAACTCCTGAGGTGCTGCACTCGCTGGTGTCCGGTCTACACAAGACACAGCTCAACATTGGAGTCAATGGTGAACTTGTGGAGCAGCCAGTTGCAGAGTAGAGTGGCTACATTGTGGAGAAGCACAATACTATAGTCCAGATCAGCATCCCCTATAATGCTGATGGAGGATACAGGAAGGTCAGGAAGCACGGTCGTGACCCTAATGTAGTTTATGTCAGCTAGAAGGATCAGGTTTATTGCATATTGAAAAACTTCTTCACAGGAAAGATGTGATGAGATACTTGGTTTTTGCAGAGCTTGGTGTCTGGCGACCTCTACGAGTTCTACATCTTTCACCTCTACTTGGAGCAAATCTCAGTGGAAGAGGACCAAGTTGACACCAGAATTCGTTTCCACAGGACGCTGGCGACGCCTATGCTGCCACGCCCTGTTTTTACTGAAAACAGTAGGTCTGATTACAAACCCATTCATCAAGTTGATGCAGCAATAATCTGATTGCCTTTTTCATTTCAGGAACAGTTCTTGAGGAGCGCATATTCACTGTCTACCTTGGAGTCGTCCCTGAGGACGTTGAGTTGGCTTCTGTTAATTTGAATGGACAAGAATTTACGGTTCCACTTACAAACACAAGCAGCCACACCATCACAAAGGTTGTTCATCCCAACAACACTTATGGCTACACTCTGAGGGTGCCTTTTGATGACCCTGTTGTCATGCAGCAGGTAAAAGGTCTTTAATTTTGACCAGATGTGTGTTCAGATTAATGCTGGTTTTATACATGGAAACAGCCTGCTTGACTCAGCCAGAATTCTGTCTCCTAGTTCTCTAAAGAAGATGCAGCCATGCAGCACACACTGGACATCAACTACACACTGACCGTCTTGCCTGAGAACGAGCCTTTTCACCAGCTGGTGTCAGTCATGGCCTTATCTGATGCCTGTAAGTCCTTTTACTTTTTAGCTTTGGTCAATCCTACTCGTACATTAAGTGGTTAACCCTTTGTCTTGTCTTTAACAGCTCCTCCAGCTTTTGACGCTGTCTGTTCTGAGTCCGGCATCAGCTTCAGACTGGACCACCGGCCTTTTGACTACCTGTGGGTGATCAGTATCGACTCAGACCCGCTGACATCAGAGCTGGCAGCCCAGCATGGCTACATCATGAGCAACGACAGCCAGAGTCTGCTGCTCGACGTGCCGCTCTTCACTCATGGCTACGAGTACAAGGTGAGATGAGGAATGACTTGACGGCAATCATTTAGTTCTGAATATGGAGGTCAGTGACTAAGATGCACATGTTTTATAGGACATTACTTTGAATGGCTTCACTGGCACCTTCGAGATCCTCATGCGGGATCCTGAAACATCAGAGGTTCAGAGTTCAACTGTCAAGACTTGCCCGTTCTCCAATATTGAATTCATTAGTAAGAACATCAGTCTTTTTTTTTGTTCACTGTAAGGGCAGTTGGGCCTCCATATGGTTGGCATATGTGCTTAAACATGTCTGTCTTTAGTGTGTTCAACTGACGGGAAGATGACTGTGGCAGCTGACTTGTCTCTGGCCATCCCAAGTGGAGGAGTTCCTGCTAGAACCAACCTCCGAGACAAATACTGTGGACCCAAAGAGACGGACAGCACCAGGGCTCTCTTCTCTTTTCCACTCAACAGCTGTGGATCCATCGTCAAGGTACAAATTTCTGATGTAAAGGGTTGCATTTAATTCAACAAAACGACACTTGCATCTGGCGCTTGCACCAACATGTTATGCTTTTCTTTCTCCAGCTCGGCAAGGAGTATGTGACCTATGAAAACGAGATTTTCTTCAGCAAGAAGCTGCGTGCTCTGAAAAATCCAGCAGACTCCAGCTACGATATTGACAGGTATATCTTCAACCCAACCTCTCTGCCTTATGGCTACAAGAGGTGTAAATAAACAAACTATTTATCCCCCTTGTCTGGCAGAGTGACGATGCAGTGCACATATCCTCTGGCTGGACTGTTCCGCCTCTTCTCAGTGTACAGGTTTGAGTCTGACACAGTTGGTGTGGGCCGCATCGTGCATTCTGCGTACTCCACCGAAGGTAAGCAGTTCATATGAATAAACTACAACACTTTACATGATCGCCTGCTGACAATCTGACCTTGCACTCTAGGTCTAGAGAGTCCCACCATCAAGCCCACTACAGTACCTACTACCAGGCGCACCAGAAGACCTGTCTCATTTAGACCTGGTTACCAGCCTCCTGCTCAGTACATCAAAGTATCAAGCTTTCTAAACAGAAGGAAAGGTAGGTTGGTTGCTTGGTTATTTGAAATTTGGTTAAATGTAAGCATTTGTTCATCTTGAATTCTCTTCACAGGATCTAGAGGACCATCTCAAGCTAAAGTGACTCTATATTCTGGATTGTAATTGCATGGATTTTAAATATAAAGTTCAATAAATGTTTGTCTTAAATGCTCTTGTATTGTCATTGAGACTTTAACTTCCTGAACATGTAAGGACAAACCTTGGTAACTTGGCTGAGTAGCAGCAGTAACAAACCAAAAGCTTAGTGCAGGTTCATATCTGTACATGAGTCTGTTTCCTAGATACAGAGCATGATGCTTGAGCTGCTTGGTTGAACCATGAGTTTTAAGTGTAGTGTGACTTTCAAAGTCTGTTTATGGGTTTTGGAGTATAACTGCTTCTGTTAAGTGTGTAAAACCTTTCAAAATCTGAGTGCCTTAAATTCCTGTCATTATCAGTTGGAGCTCAAGACTAAAAGTACAGTACAGGTTTAAAAATAAGAACCTTTTGGCTGGGAAGAAGTGAGCTTATTAGATTTGTGGCACATTATCATTTCTGCTTGAGCTACAACCAAAGACGCCACCACGTTTCTTTCACACTGATCATCTTCTGTCTGGGACATCCCAAAATTGCACAGTATATACCAGGCTTTAGCTGGGACTGGCATAGCACACCCAAATCTTATGAGCGGTCTGTAGTACTTGTGGGTTATGCAAGCACCAGATTTTGACACAGAAGACTGACTTAAAAGTGTGTTTTGCTCCATCAGTTTGATAGTCTAGCTGTCCATTGATTTAGCATTGCGCTCTGAACATTATTCAAGCACAAGTCTCCTTATTGCCTGAATCAGTGACTAAAATGAGTAAGAAATGTAATGTTCTTAAAGTAAAATTAAGTGTAGTCACTGCATGACTCCTAGATATCCATGCATGCACAAGTAAAATGAGGAGCCCATGTGAAGGTCTTCCTGTGGCCTAACATTTCTGATACCCAACAGACTTGTCAGCTCCTAATGTTCAGTTTCCAGTCTGACATTGCATCCACTCTGATTGCTGTGGGAGCCGGGGATTCAGTTTTCCCAAACCATCACTAGAAACCCACGCCTGAATCTAACATTTGATGTCTATGTCGATGAGTAGCCATGCTGACGTACTTGTTTTGCCGGGGTTTTAAGAGTGCAGCGAAGTAAAACAAAGTGATGTGAGGCAGTATTGAGAAGACATGTTGATTTACAGCCTCAATAGCGTCCATCTTGTCCATAGATCGTTTCATTGCTATTCTGGTGCTAAAACGCCTTTGATCCCTGTTTACTTCCTGTCAGATTCTGCATCAACAAACCTAACAGGAAATACAGAGGAAACCACTTAGAATATTTATGTATGTTTGAAACAGTCTGTAGTGCTCATCATTGTTTTTGTTGTACCTCTTGACAACAGCTTCACAACAGTATTAGTCCCACCCATGGCGCTGATAGGCGAATTGTTAGTCCCTTCCTGCGCTCATTGGTTGTTTCTTATTTCAGCAGGGAAACTGTTGTTTCATGTTACAGTACCAAACAAATCAGTCAAGTCGGTGGAGTGGTCGGATTCCAAGGTCATGCACATTCATAAAACCAACAAGTGTTTGTGGAAAACAGACATATTTGATATCATGTGACATTAGCCCTTGAAAAGGTGATGTGAGGCCCAGGTACTGTGTGAGATGTGTCAACTGAGGGGCCTTCCTTTCCAGGTGACCAATGAGGAAGACGTTATTGGCATTTAAAGATTCCTGAGCACAGGAGGCCCCTTCACATTTCCATTCAGTCTTGGTGTGGACACATTTTTTTTTGAGACCCCCACAATAAGGACATGGAAATTAAATCTTGCCCTCATGTCTTGAGGACTGTCACCGAGCACAGTGGCTCTGACAATTCCTCTGTCTCCAGTCTCAGATCTGGAGGATTGAATACTGCCAAACTAATCATTCCACCTCCTGATCCATCGATGTATTGTGCCAGATATTTGTGTGGCTCATTGATGAGGCTTTGAGTTCACCAACCTATGGAAACAGACATAGGAAGCCAATTTTAAAGTCCACGATTGGACTTCTTCAATAAAAGGTTTTTAACTTTTGACGTCCTCTCAGGGAACACATCAGATAGTGACACCATTGTCTGGGAATCTACTCGCAAATGCCATGCCAAACTATCAAAGTCTCCACTTTTATTTACCATCCAGCAACGACTGAACTGCAGTGTTATGGCATTCTCGGAAGCCAACGGCTGAATTCGATGTCTGACTTCCGGCAGACAGCGATACAGCCTTTGGGGGCAGATCCCCGATTTTTGGGAATTCCGGTTTGAGTAGGCGAATTTCCGTTTCTGTCTTCCGTTTATATATAAGTAAATATGCTGAACCATTGCGATGGATTCAGAGTTTGCAGTGACAGTGCAAGCTATTAAGATCACAAGTTGATTATTTCATTAGACATGACAGCTCGTTTTCTCCTAACAGGTTGTCAGTTTTAGAAAACAAACAGCCGATTTCTCAAGAATTTCTCCTGAGATCACAGAATAATTACAGACAACTTAATGAGTCTGGTTAATTTAATCACACCCAATTTCAGCCTCCAAGATCACTGTCAGGAAAGAGTCATAACTGAACATTATCAAAGCATAAATGTGTAGTTTGTTTAGTGCAGGTATGTCATTAAAGCAGACATTTATAGTACCTGATGAGGTTGACCAGCTCCCATCTGTCTGCTTCAGTCAGCAGCTGCTCAAAGCCTGTCAAGTTGCAGCCGAGCCAATCTTTATCTTCAATGACAAGGACTGATCTAAATGCACGTCTTACAGAATGGCACAGCACAAGTTCTGCCAGTCTTATACTTGTAGTACGATCTGTTAAAATGGTCAATACTTGATCCGACATTCAGCTTAAGTCTGTTGCCACAGTTGTCAAGACACCAGCCGTGCATGCTGGCATGGCACTTCGTCTGAAACTTGCAATAGCGACTCGTTTCATGATAGCTGGTTGATTCTCTTTGACATAAAGCTCATTTTCAAGTTAATGTTATCAACTCATGATCAAGATAATAGCATTGAAAGAGAAATACATTTCTAAGCACAGCTGTTCTGTTTCCCAACTTAAGTCTAGATGTGACTAATTTTTTGCCATCTCCACTGAGCACTGGACTAACAGCTAGATGTTGCATGTTTTAGTCACATGGCAAGACAGATTAGTGTTTGTTGGGTCAAGTGGTGACGCTCAATCAGGCTACATTTTTGTACATGAGAAACTACCAATTTGTATACATAAACCAGGCTTAATATCTCAGAGCTGGGCCCCATTTCAGAAAGTGGGATTAGGGAAAATTCTGAGAAGGTTTAGTCTAAAGATGAGGGAAACTGAATTTTGTTTCACAAAGCTAGTTCAGCTAACCCTGAGTCAGTTACTTGGCAACCTGCTGAACATAAATGCATTTAAAAAAAAGCAGACTGTCATTGGAGACTTCAACCAACACCACTATACTTTTTTTTTTTAAAGAAATTTTATTGAGATTTACAGTTAAAAATACATCAAAACCATCCTCAAACTATGTTGGCATGTACTTTAGATTGAGAAGATCCTCTGGCTCCTGTGAAGAGAATATAGTATTTAGTAAGTTATCTGCAGATCATGAAATTTAGACAGGTTTTAAAATCAAGTACTGACCTTTCTTTGGCAGATTCCTCAGAAAGCTTGATACTTTGACATACTGAGCAGGTTGGTAGCCAGGTCGTATTGAGACAGGTCTTCTGTTGCGTCTGGTAGTTGACACTGGAGTTTGAAGCACTATAGTAGGCTTCATGGTGGGACTCTGTAGACCTAGAGCACAAGACAAAACAGATTCAGCATGCAATAAATTGGGGATGGGGTTTATTCAGGTGAACCACTTACTTTCAGTGGAGTGCGCAGAATGCACGATGCGGCCCACCCCAACGGTGTCAGACTCAAACCTGTACATTGAGAAGAGGCGGAACAGTCCAGCCAGAGGATATGTGCACTGCATCGTCACTCTGCCAGACAAGGGGGATACATAGTTTGCCTTATGGGTACAAGAGGCATAAATAGCCAGATAGGTTGGATTGAAGATATACCTGTCAATATCATAGCTGGAGTCTGCTGGATTTTTCATAGCATGCAGCTTCTTGCTGAAGAAAATCTCGTTTTCATAGGTCACATACTCCTTGCCAAGCTGGAGAAACACATAGGCACACTCACTGCCAGATGCATGTTTTAAAGGAATTAAGGCAACGGTTTGCATCAGAAATTTGTACCTTGACGATGGATCCACAGCTGTTGAGTGGAAAAGAGAAGAGAGCCCTGGTGCTGTCCGTCTCTTTGGGTCCACAGTATTTGTCTCGGAGGTTGGTTCTAGCAGGAACTCCTCCACTTGGGATGGCCAGAGACAAGTCAGCTGCCACAGTCATCTTCCCGTCAGTTGAACACACTAAAGACAGACATGTTTAAGCACATATGCCAACCATATGGAGGCCCAACTGCCCTTACAGTGAACAATAAAAAAGACTGATGTTCTTACTAATGAATTCATTATTGGAGAACGGGCAAGTCTTGACAGTTGAACTCTGAACCTCTGATGTTTCAGGATCCCGCATGAGGATCTCGAAGGTGCCAGTGAAGCCATTCAAAGTAATGTCCTATAAAACATGTGCATCTTAGTCACTGACCTCCATATTCAGAACTAAATGATTGCCGTCAAGTCATTCCTCATCTCACCTTGTACTCGTAGCCATGAGTGAAGAGCGGCACGTCGAGCAGCAGACTCTGGCTGTCGTTGCTCATGATGTAGCCATGCTGGGCTGCCAGCTCTGATGTCAGCGGGTCTGAGTCGATACTGATCACCCACAGGTAGTCTAAAGGCCGGTGGTCCAGTCTGAAGCTGATGCCTGACTCAGAACAGACAGCGTCAAAAGCTGGAGGAGCTGTTAAAGACAAGACAAAGGGTTAACCACTTAATGTACGAGTAGGATTGACCAAAGCTAAAAAGTAAAAGGACTTACAGGCATCAGATAAGGCCATGACTGACACCAGCTGGTGAAAAGGCTCGTTCTCAGGCAAGACGGTCAGTGTGTAGTTGATGTCCAGTGTGTGCTGCATGGCTGCATCTTCTTTAGAGAACTAGGAGACAGAATTCTGGCTGAGTCAAGCAGGCTGTTTCCATGTATAAAACCAGCATTAATCTGAACACACATCTGGTCAAAATTAAAGACCTTTTACCTGCTGCATGACAACAGGGTCATCAAAAGGCACCCTCAGAGTGTAGCCATAAGTGTTGTTGGGATGAACAACCTTTGTGATGGTGTGGCTGCTTGTGTTTGTAAGTGGAACCGTAAATTCTTGTCCATTCAAATTAACAGAAGCCAACTCAACGTCCTCAGGGACGTCTCCAAGGTAGACAGTGAATATGCGCTCCTCAAGAACTGTTCCTGAAATGAAAAAGGCAATCAGATTATTGCTGCATCAACTTGATGAATGGGTTTGTAATCAGACCTACTGTTTTCAGTAAAAACAGGGCGTGGCAGCATAGGCGTCGCCAGCGTCCTGTGGAAACGAATTCTGGTGTCAACTTGGTCCTCTTCCACTGAGATTTGCTCCAAGTAGAGGTGAAAGATGTAGAACTCGTAGAGGTCGCCAGACACCAAGCTCTGCAAAAATACAATTTCAGGGAAGAATGTCAAGTAGTGGTAAGAGATCAAAAAGTCCCCCATACAAAAATATATAATTCCTAATTTACATACGAGGAGCCTGAATGTGTCTATACTGCAGAGTGATTGCAACTTATCAGAGTTTCCTGACCTTCCTGTATCCTCCATCAGCATTATAGGGGATGCTGATCTGGACTGTAGTGTTGTGCTTCTCCACGATGTAGCCTCTCTCCTCTGCAACTGGCTGCTCCACAAGTTCACCATTGACTCCAATGTTGAGCTGTGTCTTGTGTAGACCGGACACCAGCGAGTGCAGCACCTCAGGAGTTGCCCACATCATGTAGCCACTGTCATCATATGATCCTTCATCTGAAGATTACACAACATTACAGCTTTGCTTGTTAACCGTCATGGAAAAAGAGAAACTATGGAAAATGTGAGATTGTAGCAATGACCTGTGGAGCAAGCAGCCTCCAGGTCGACCATGAGGACCACCCAGCTTTGTCTGGAAACAAGAGTTGCATGGACCACCTCTACTGGAACACCATTCACCTGGAAAGAGACTCCAAATCAAAACCTGCTTTGGACTACATGCTTTACAAGACTGACATTAAGCATCAGTTGTTTACCTCAGTGGTGAATGAATCAGGTTGTCCATACGGAGCACGAAATACCAGCCTTCCATCAGTCAAGTCAAATGCATAACCCNGCTACATCATGAGCAACGACAGCCAGAGTCTGCTGCTCGACGTGCCGCTCTTCACTCATGGCTACGAGTACAAGGTGAGATGAGGAATGACTTGACGGCAATCATTTAGTTCTGAATATGGAGGTCAGTGACTAAGATGCACATGTTTTATAGGACATTACTTTGAATGGCTTCACTGGCACCTTCGAGATCCTCATGCGGGATCCTGAAACATCAGAGGTTCAGAGTTCAACTGTCAAGACTTGCCCGTTCTCCAATATTGAATTCATTAGTAAGAACATCAGTCTTTTTTTTTGTTCACTGTAAGGGCAGTTGGGCCTCCATATGGTTGGCATATGTGCTTAAACATGTCTGTCTTTAGTGTGTTCAACTGACGGGAAGATGACTGTGGCAGCTGACTTGTCTCTGGCCATCCCAAGTGGAGGAGTTCCTGCTAGAACCAACCTCCGAGACAAATACTGTGGACCCAAAGAGACGGACAGCACCAGGGCTCTCTTCTCTTTTCCACTCAACAGCTGTGGATCCATCGTCAAGGTACAAATTTCTGATGTAAAGGGTTGCATTTAATTCAACAAAACGACACTTGCATCTGGCGCTTGCACCAACATGTTATGCTTTTCTTTCTCCAGCTCGGCAAGGAGTATGTGACCTATGAAAACGAGATTTTCTTCAGCAAGAAGCTGCGTGCTCTGAAAAATCCAGCAGACTCCAGCTACGATATTGACAGGTATATCTTCAACCCAACCTCTCTGCCTTATGGCTACAAGAGGTGTAAATAAACAAACTATTTATCCCCCTTGTCTGGCAGAGTGACGATGCAGTGCACATATCCTCTGGCTGGACTGTTCCGCCTCTTCTCAGTGTACAGGTTTGAGTCTGACACAGTTGGTGTGGGCCGCATCGTGCATTCTGCGTACTCCACCGAAGGTAAGCAGTTCATATGAATAAACTACAACACTTTACATGATCGCCTGCTGACAATCTGACCTTGCACTCTAGGTCTAGAGAGTCCCACCATCAAGCCCACTACAGTACCTACTACCAGGCGCACCAGAAGACCTGTCTCATTTAGACCTGGTTACCAGCCTCCTGCTCAGTACATCAAAGTATCAAGCTTTCTAAACAGAAGGAAAGGTAGGTTGGTTGCTTGGTTATTTGAAATTTGGTTAAATGTAAGCATTTGTTCATCTTGAATTCTCTTCACAGGATCTAGAGGACCATCTCAAGCTAAAGTGACTCTATATTCTGGATTGTAATTGCATGGATTTTAAATATAAAGTTCAATAAATGTTTGTCTTAAATGCTCTTGTATTGTCATTGAGACTTTAACTTCCTGAACATGTAAGGACAAACCTTGGTAACTTGGCTGAGTAGCAGCAGTAACAAACCAAAAGCTTAGTGCAGGTTCATATCTGTACATGAGTCTGTTTCCTAGATACAGAGCATGATGCTTGAGCTGCTTGGTTGAACCATGAGTTTTAAGTGTAGTGTGACTTTCAAAGTCTGTTTATGGGTTTTGGAGTATAACTGCTTCTGTTAAGTGTGTAAAACCTTTCAAAATCTGAGTGCCTTAAATTCCTGTCATTATCAGTTGGAGCTCAAGACTAAAAGTACAGTACAGGTTTAAAAATAAGAACCTTTTGGCTGGGAAGAAGTGAGCTTATTAGATTTGTGGCACATTATCATTTCTGCTTGAGCTACAACCAAAGACGCCACCACGTTTCTTTCACACTGATCATCTTCTGTCTGGGACATCCCAAAATTGCACAGTATATACCAGGCTTTAGCTGGGACTGGCATAGCACACCCAAATCTTATGAGTGGTCTGTAGTACTTGTGGGTTATGCAAGCACCAGATTTTGACACAGAAGACTGACTTAAAAGTGTGTTTTGCTCCATCAGTTTGATAGTCTAGCTGTCCATTGATTTAGCATTGCGCTCTGAACATTATTCAAGCACAAGTCTCCTTATTGCCTGAATCAGTGACTAAAATGAGTAAGAAATGTAATGTTCTTAAAGTAAAATTAAGTGTAGTCACTGCATGACTCCTAGATATCCATGCATGCACAAGTAAAATGAGGAGCCCATGTGAAGGTCTTCCTGTGGCCTAACATTTCTGATACCCAACAGACTTGTCAGCTCCTAATGTTCAGTTTCCAGTCTGACATTGCATCCACTCTGATTGCTGTGGGAGCCGGGGATTCAGTTTTCCCAAACCATCACTAGAAACCCACGCCTGAATCTAACATTTGATGTCTATGTCGATGAGTAGCCATGCTGACGTACTTGTTTTGCCGGGGTTTTAAGAGTGCAGCGAAGTAAAACAAAGTGATGTGAGGCAGTATTGAGAAGACATGTTGATTTACAGCCTCAATAGCGTCCATCTTGTCCATAGATCGTTTCATTGCTATTCTGGTGCTAAAACGCCTTTGATCCCTGTTTACTTCCTGTCAGATTCTGCATCAACAAACCTAACAGGAAATACAGAGGAAACCACTTAGAATATTTATGTATGTTTGAAACAGTCTGTAGTGCTCATCATTGTTTTTGTTGTACCTCTTGACAACAGCTTCACAACAGTATTAGTCCCACCCATGGCGCTGATAGGCGAATTGTTAGTCCCTTCCTGCGCTCATTGGTTGTTTCTTATTTCAGCAGGGAAACTGTTGTTTCATGTTACAGTACCAAACAAATCAGTCAAGTCGGTGGAGTGGTCGGATTCCAAGGTCATGCACATTCATAAAACCAACAAGTGTTTGTGGAAAACAGACATATTTGATATCATGTGACATTAGCCCTTGAAAAGGTGATGTGAGGCCCAGGTACTGTGTGAGATGTGTCAACTGAGGGGCCTTCCTTTCCAGGTGACCAATGAGGAAGACGTTATTGGCATTTAAAGATTCCTGAGCACAGGAGGCCCCTTCACATTTCCATTCAGTCTTGGTGTGGACACATTTTTTTTTGAGACCCCCACAATAAGGACATGGAAATTAAATCTTGCCCTCATGTCTTGAGGACTGTCACCGAGCACAGTGGCTCTGACAATTCCTCTGTCTCCAGTCTCAGATCTGGAGGATTGAATACTGCCAAACTAATCATTCCACCTCCTGATCCATCGATGTATTGTGCCAGATATTTGTGTGGCTCATTGATGAGGCTTTGAGTTCACCAACCTATGGAAACAGACATAGGAAGCCAATTTTAAAGTCCACGATTGGACTTCTTCAATAAAAGGTTTTTAACTTTTGACGTCCTCTCAGGGAACACATCAGATAGTGACACCATTGTCTGGGAATCTACTCGCAAATGCCATGCCAAACTATCAAAGTCTCCACTTTTATTTACCATCCAGCAACGACTGAACTGCAGTGTTATGGCATTCTCGGAAGCCAACGGCTGAATTCGATGTCTGACTTCCGGCAGACAGCGATACAGCCTTTGGGGGCAGATCCCCGATTTTTGGGAATTCCGGTTTGAGTAGGCGAATTTCCGTTTCTGTCTTCCGTTTATATATAAGTAAATATGCTGAACCATTGCGATGGATTCAGAGTTTGCAGTGACAGTGCAAGCTATTAAGATCACAAGTTGATTATTTCATTAGACATGACAGCTCGTTTTCTCCTAACAGGTTGTCAGTTTTAGAAAACAAACAGCCGATTTCTCAAGAATTTCTCCTGAGATCACAGAATAATTACAGACAACTTAATGAGTCTGGTTAATTTAATCACACCCAATTTCAGCCTCCAAGATCACTGTCAGGAAAGAGTCATAACTGAACATTATCAAAGCATAAATGTGTAGTTTGTTTAGTGCAGGTATGTCATTAAAGCAGACATTTATAGTACCTGATGAGGTTGACCAGCTCCCATCTGTCTGCTTCAGTCAGCAGCTGCTCAAAGCCTGTCAAGTTGCAGCCGAGCCAATCTTTATCTTCAATGACAAGGACTGATCTAAATGCACGTCTTACAGAATGGCACAGCACAAGTTCTGCCAGTCTTATACTTGTAGTACGATCTGTTAAAATGGTCAATACTTGATCCGACATTCAGCTTAAGTCTGTTGCCACAGTTGTCAAGACACCAGCCGTGCATGCTGGCATGGCACTTCGTCTGAAACTTGCAATAGCGACTCGTTTCATGATAGCTGGTTGATTCTCTTTGACATAAAGCTCATTTTCAAGTTAATGTTATCAACTCATGATCAAGATAATAGCATTGAAAGAGAAATACATTTCTAAGCACAGCTGTTCTGTTTCCCAACTTAAGTCTAGATGTGACTAATTTTTTGCCATCTCCACTGAGCACTGGACTAACAGCTAGATGTTGCATGTTTTAGTCACATGGCAAGACAGATTAGTGTTTGTTGGGTCAAGTGGTGACGCTCAATCAGGCTACATTTTTGTACATGAGAAACTACCAATTTGTATACATAAACCAGGCTTAATATCTCAGAGCTGGGCCCCATTTCAGAAAGTGGGATTAGGGAAAATTCTGAGAAGGTTTAGTCTAAAGATGAGGGAAACTGAATTTTGTTTCACAAAGCTAGTTCAGCTAACCCTGAGTCAGTTACTTGGCAACCTGCTGAACATAAATGCATTTAAAAAAAAGCAGACTGTCATTGGAGACTTCAACCAACACCACTATACTTTTTTTTTTTAAAGAAATTTTATTGAGATTTACAGTTAAAAATACATCAAAACCATCCTCAAACTATGTTGGCATGTACTTTAGATTGAGAAGATCCTCTGGCTCCTGTGAAGAGAATATAGTATTTAGTAAGTTATCTGCAGATCATGAAATTTAGACAGGTTTTAAAATCAAGTACTGACCTTTCTTTGGCAGATTCCTCAGAAAGCTTGATACTTTGACATACTGAGCAGGTTGGTAGCCAGGTCGTATTGAGACAGGTCTTCTGTTGCGTCTGGTAGTTGACACTGGAGTTTGAAGCACTATAGTAGGCTTCATGGTGGGACTCTGTAGACCTAGAGCACAAGACAAAACAGATTCAGCATGCAATAAATTGGGGATGGGGTTTATTCAGGTGAACCACTTACTTTCAGTGGAGTGCGCAGAATGCACGATGCGGCCCACCCCAACGGTGTCAGACTCAAACCTGTACATTGAGAAGAGGCGGAACAGTCCAGCCAGAGGATATGTGCACTGCATCGTCACTCTGCCAGACAAGGGGGATACATAGTTTGCCTTATGGGTACAAGAGGCATAAATAGCCAGATAGGTTGGATTGAAGATATACCTGTCAATATCATAGCTGGAGTCTGCTGGATTTTTCATAGCATGCAGCTTCTTGCTGAAGAAAATCTCGTTTTCATAGGTCACATACTCCTTGCCAAGCTGGAGAAACACATAGGCACACTCACTGCCAGATGCATGTTTTAAAGGAATTAAGGCAACGGTTTGCATCAGAAATTTGTACCTTGACGATGGATCCACAGCTGTTGAGTGGAAAAGAGAAGAGAGCCCTGGTGCTGTCCGTCTCTTTGGGTCCACAGTATTTGTCTCGGAGGTTGGTTCTAGCAGGAACTCCTCCACTTGGGATGGCCAGAGACAAGTCAGCTGCCACAGTCATCTTCCCGTCAGTTGAACACACTAAAGACAGACATGTTTAAGCACATATGCCAACCATATGGAGGCCCAACTGCCCTTACAGTGAACAATAAAAAAGACTGATGTTCTTACTAATGAATTCATTATTGGAGAACGGGCAAGTCTTGACAGTTGAACTCTGAACCTCTGATGTTTCAGGATCCCGCATGAGGATCTCGAAGGTGCCAGTGAAGCCATTCAAAGTAATGTCCTATAAAACATGTGCATCTTAGTCACTGACCTCCATATTCAGAACTAAATGATTGCCGTCAAGTCATTCCTCATCTCACCTTGTACTCGTAGCCATGAGTGAAGAGCGGCACGTCGAGCAGCAGACTCTGGCTGTCGTTGCTCATGATGTAGCCATGCTGGGCTGCCAGCTCTGATGTCAGCGGGTCTGAGTCGATACTGATCACCCACAGGTAGTCAAAAGGCCGGTGGTCCAGTCTGAAGCTGATGCCGGACTCAGAACAGACAGCGTCAAAAGCTGGAGGAGCTGTTAAAGACAAGACAAAGGGTTAACCACTTAATGTACGAGTAGGATTGACCAAAGCTAAAAAGTAAAAGGACTTACAGGCATCAGATAAGGCCATGACTGACACCAGCTGGTGAAAAGGCTCGTTCTCAGGCAAGACGGTCAGTGTGTAGTTGATGTCCAGTGTGTGCTGCATGGCTGCATCTTCTTTAGAGAACTAGGAGA